GGGAATGGGAGTGAGAGAATTCTAAGTATACAAAACATGATGGAAGAAATCATGGAGACAAGAATGAGTGAGAGCAAAAGACGAGAAACAAGTTTTGAACAGGAAGCTGCTGTTTCTTTTAGGTCCTGTTAGTGGGCTATCAGTCTACTACTGAATGTTCTAACTGTGTTTAATGGATAAACTTAAAAAACAACAAATGGTCTGGTAGCACTTTATAAACTAACAAAACATGTAGATGGTATCATGAGCTTCCGTGGGCACAGCCCACTTCTTCAGATGAACGGAGTTTTGAGTTCAGGATGTGCAGACCCAAAATAGATAGGGGAGAAGGAAGAGGGAGGAAGGGGAAAAAAGGAAGGGGGAGGGAAACAAGGAGCAGAGGACATGGAAATATCAAAAGGAAAAACAAGTAGGCAGAATTGGTAACCTATAAGCACCTAAAGATTGGATAGTTAAAAGAAGCAGATAAGGATCATAGAATAGCAATTAGATCAGAAGGGTACTAACGCAAGAATCTACACAGACAAAGAGCTGTTGGCACCTTCATTGAATATTAGGTTGATAATGTCCCAGCCATCCCTCATCTCAACTGAGGAGACTATCAGTGGACAATGTAGCACTTTAAAGACTAACAAGATGGTTTATAGATGATGAGCTTTCGTGGGCCAGACCCACTTCCTCAGATCAGATCAGATCTGAGGAAGTGGGTCTGGCCCACGAAAGCTCATCATCTATAAACCATCTTGTTAGTCTTTAAAGTGCTACATTGTCCTGCATTTTGCTTCAGCTACCCCAGACTAACACGGCTACATTTCTATCAGTGTGAGAATTGAATTTATGGATGAATTATAATTCTAACACCTCTCTGTGTGTTTGGCTTGTAGAATTGGTTTTTTGTGACAAGACATATTTGGAATATGGATCGTGAGGAAGAGCACAGTTGCCCTTCAGATCAGCAATGACATGGAATTTTATCTGTTCAGTAATGCAACAACATCAATATACAGTTCCTGTCTAAACTGCTATGTCATTAGGAAAAAGGAGAGAACAAACTGCACATGAGCTGGGGGAGAAAGGTTGGTTGAGGGCAAGGAAAAACATCCTGCAGTCGATTAAGAGCTTTTCATTTAAAGAAATCAATCCCAGGAGCTTCCTTGGCCTCCTGATAATGCATCGCTCAATTGGTTCATGCCTGTGACATGAAATGTTGGAGTCAGAGAAGCCAGGGCACTGCTGAAGAAGGGAAACAGCCGCCAAGCAGCCAGCAACTTCCTCTGAAAGCCAGGAGGGGCTCACTGAATAATTGATAAGATGCTAACCCATCAGAACAGTGCACAGGGTCTGTCTATTACTAAGGCTGAATAACTCTGGCACCCATGATGGACGGTGTGGCCAAATAAGCCATTTAGCTACCCAGCTAGCTTGCTTGCTCGCTCACTTATTGATTGGTTGATTGATTGATTGATTGATGCCTAATACCATGCAGTGAGGCAGCAGTTTGGTGTTGGGCGGCTGGCAAATGACAGCTTCTGTCTGATGATTAGTGAGCAGTTCAATTTGAGATGGGTCACATGGCTGAAAGGACAGGTTGGACAACCATTCAGGCAGCGAGGGCTAACTTCAAATTCCCATTAGGCATCAGAGCCTGACACATGTTAACTGAAGCCATATTAAATATTAAAAAGTGCATTTTTCACCCTCTCTAGAGGCCTGAACAGAAGAAACAGCACCAGGCCACTCATTTGGAGTCTGATCTAAAGCTCATTGTAAGGAATGGAAAGCGTGCCCATTCATTTCAGTGGGATTTGGAACTGGTCCTTTATTTCTTGACCACCTAGAGTACCACAACACAGTGTTTTAAATGTCTCCAATGTGTTCATACTGCAAAGTTCGGATCCATATTTTTTATGCCTTAAAAATCTGGGATTGTCCCGGCCTATTGTATGATAGCTGGAGTTTCACTACTGCTGCGTTAATAAGTATGTTTCACATTTTGTGTGTTTGCGCACGTGTGCATGTGTTTCATTTTTTTTACTCTATTTACCCATCTTCTTAATAGCTGAAAAATTGTAAATACATATTTTTAAAGCTAGCTTTGGGCGGGAGACTGATGTCACCAGGGTTAATTAATGAGCTATAGAGTCATTTAGCTTCACATTGGTAGCAACCAAAACATTTTAGCATTTGTTGGATGGTCAAAGGCCACTGTGAAATGAGTTTGGTGGGACTCAGTCCATTTACCAGTGGCTAGATATTCACATCACAAAAACCTCTCTCTCTCCCAACTGGTACTAACAGTCCCTCTCACTCCCGCCTTTTGAAAGGCCAAGGACTGAATGAGCCATAGAGACTAAACTGTCTCTATTCCACCTCAGGACTTTGGCACACCACCTGGAGGTTAAAGATCACATAGCATGTGGCAGCATATTAGAGTCTTAGACCCAATGTCCTGGCCAAATCCTGGCTTGACCAATTCCATTCTGCATGTCTAAATCTCTCCTACAGTCTCAGTTATATTGAACACCTCTGGCCTGGTTTTCAGCGGTGCTGGTTACCCACAGATCCCAAGGAAACTAAGCTCCTCTAAGTTAGGCCACTAGTTAAGATGATCAGACATTCTGATTTTAAATGGACAGTCTTGTATTTATGCCCTCCTGCAGGTGTCCTCATCTTTTCTCAATATCGGGCAAATTGTCCCATATTTTCTGTCTTCCCACATCAGTGCTGGTGAGTTCTACTGCTGACCATATCCCTGCTTGCCAGCCACCAGAAAGAATCCAACTACACAGTTATCAGGGGTTCAGTCAACTCGCTCTAAATATGAACATTTGTACTGCATAGTCCTAGTTGATTGCTATTGAGGTTGCTTGAATATAAGAAAGTTTATCAGGGGGTGCCCCATATTTAGCAAATATGGTCACTCTACCACTAGTGCCCATTAGCTAAAGCAGAGTAAGAAAAAATCTGCACTGCTTGGCAGGTAAGTCAGGCAGCTAACTCTCCCTCATCAATTTTGTTTCAAAAAAGCACATGCCTGATTTTAAGCTGTGTGCTAGAAATGGCCATTTTTAGCCAACCCACGCCCCCTTTTGGAGAGCTGCCACTAGGAGTACAGTGGTGAAAACCCACACACTTTCTGGAGGGAGGGCAGAATGCTGGTAGATGGAGGTCCTGAGCTGCTATCAGCCCTTCAAGCTGACCCCCAAATCAGGACACTTTTCAGGGGTGCTGTAATGGCCGTGTGCAAAGGGAATAAGACCCTGAGTCTAATTAAGGCAAGAGAGAACAGGAACATTTCCAAATAGAAGAGCCTGCCCACACCCTCAGTTCCAAACTTGTTTTTTTTACCCTACCAGTTGCCTTTCATAATGTTAAGGGGCCAGGCAGTAGGAGAGGGCAAGCATCCTACATACATGTATCCCCCATCAGGATGTTTCAGTCCTGACCAGGAGGGACCAACTCCAAGGCTGGGAGGGGAGTTTATTTTGCAGTATTTTGGTCAAATATTTGAATAAACAGGCTAGAGTCTTTTAAAAATGTCACGGCTCTTCAGATTGATTGCTTAATCGTCAGCCTTCAGAGTAGCACTAGACCTGTTTTGTCTTTAACCATGACAGGTCCCACACCCTTACACTGTGTGTGCAAGTCAATACAGAAAAAAAAGAAAACATTTTTAGACTTTCTGAGTGATCTGCTTCATGCTGTGTCTCATTAAAATCTCCCCCTAGCTTTGCAAATCTTACACAAGGCACATTTCAGCTGCATTATGATAGATTTCCCCCCAACTTGTTTTTAACTAGGTGTTCCCCAAGTAGCGCCAATAGCTTGACAAGTGACAGTTCTGTAAACTTTCTGCACGCCTCCCCACATGTGTGCTGCTGGGATAGTTTCAGGCAGGGAAACTAGCGATTGCCTGAGGTGAGAGACTAAGGGGACGGAGGTATTAAATACATGATGAGAGATATTGTACACTTCCCTATAACCTTTCCCTATAATATTGGGGACTGATCTGATTAAAGCTAATCCTCTGAGAGCTGAGGGAGAACATTTCTCGGTTTAGGTATTTTCTCTGTTTAGTATTCAGTATTCAATATTTCAGTTTTTTCACCTCATGAACATGTATTTGCAGTTATGGAAATGTAATGCCTAATCATGTTGTAAGATATATTCTAGTCAAAGAATAACCTGTGCTGAAGCAAATTTGTCTGCACCTGATTTTAATGGAGAAAAGCGGAAAACACAAAATGTAATTATTCCTCAAGACACTGTATGGAAAGTGATTTTATCAGCGCAATACTCTGGACTTGCAAGTGTAATTTAAACCAGTCTGTAGCCTTCTCTGAAGAGAGATCATAAGTCAATTCCCTGATGAAAACGACACATAAATCAACCCAGGGGCTCATCTCCTGTTTTATCAATACTGTTTTCATATTTCTCTGACCTGATCATCATAGTTCATCCTGTTTTTTATTATCCTTTCAGCCTTAAAGATGTATTAAACCATGGCAGGAAAAGCTGTTCTTCCACTCCAATGCCCAGCTTCCATGCCCTCAGGGGAGCCATTCTTTATCATAATCAAGATATTTTTAGAATCCTATGTAAATACCAGTGCAGTTTAATCAAATATGAGAAATGTCCAGCTGCTACACATTGGTCCCAGTCCTACTGACTTTCTAACATTAACCATATTAATTTAGCCTTGCCCCTCAAATCCTGATCAAAGTAAGAAGAATCTTGAGTGAATGGTCTATCCTTGTACAATAACAATAATACTTCCTTGACAGAATGGCTCTGTCTTTTAAATATTTTTAAAATAAAACTAATCTTATCATAGTTCAGATCTTTTCAGCAGTGCCATACAAAGAAAGAAAAAAAAAGAAAAATCTGCTTTCCTTTAAAAAACTGCCAACTCTCTTTATTCCACCCCCTAACTCTTTTATTTATTGTTTTTTTATTTAACTGTCCCATGACTGATAATACTAATTGATTAATTTGCTTACCTGCTTCACCATGACCAGAAACAATGTATTCCAAGAACACAATCAGCATGATGCCTTTATGCTGCATGTCTGTAAGGGGAGAAATATCTGTCCTTAGTGGAGCAAAAAGAATTTCATAAATCTACAGGTTTGGTATGTGCATGGTTGCTTTCTTTCTTCCTTCCTCCCTTTCTTCACCTTCCTCTCAGGGCAGGGGTCCTGGCTGGTGTCTCATTCTTCTTGTTTTATTTTAAATCCAGATAGCTTTCCAGGTCTCAGATGGCTTCTGTGTGTGTTCCCTACATTGCTTCCAAATAGATACATGAATGCATAGAAATTACCCCTTTGCATCCAGAAGGTAGGTGAAATTCACATCTCTGACACAGCCCCCAGACAAACCATCACTGAGGAAGCAAAGCAAAGCTCAGCTCTCGGTCAGATCTGATCACATGCCGTTATTTACTTGCTATTTAAATCTTTCACTTTCATTTGCGGTCCTTGCTTCTTGGGTCCCCCGCCCCCATGATCCCCTCCCTACGCCCCCCTCTGCTGCTAATGGGGGTGCAATTAGGGGCCATGCACCATTAAACCCTGCTTTGTTATGAATATTGTCCTAGACAAAGCTCAGCTCTCGGTCAGATCTGATCACATGCCGTTATTTACTTGCTATTTAAATCTTTCACTTTCATTTGCGGTCCTTGCTTCTTGGGTCCCCCGCCCCCATGATCCCCTCCCTACGCCCCCCTCTGCTGCTAATGGGGGTGCAATTAGGGGCCATGCACCATTAAACCCTGCTTTGTTATGAATATTGTCCTAGACAGTGCGCTCGTCCCTTTGCTCCCTGAGGCAGAGTGTCATTGGAAGAACCAAGTTTGCTTTTCTCTCTTAGAGATGATAGGACAACCCTTCCGCCCCTCCCCCCCCCCCCCCACCCCCCTCTTCGGCTTCAGAGACTGGTGGTCAAAGGATAATAATGAAACCACCACTCGTGTCAGTGCGCACAGAGTCGATTGCGCCCTTTTACATTTCTTCTCTGCCTACTGGAACTGGATTTGTTCCTGGAAATTATGACACATTAGGGTCCTGGTGGGGAGAGGGGTAGAGTTTGGTTTAGGGGAGCTGGGGATTCAGATGGGGGATCTCTTATGCCTTGCAGAAGAAAAGGGGGCGAGAGATGCTCCCTTTCCCTATCTGGACTGGGGTTGGGGATTTTCGCCCCTTCGTGCTATTGAACTAGCTTCAAGTTTCCCCCCGGTCTCCCTTCAGCTTCTAGCACATCCCTCCGTCCTAACTTCTGCGCTCCGGTCTGTCTGGATGCAAAGGGGATTATTATCACACGGCATCTTCCTGTTCTTTATATGTTTTTTAGCGGCGGCGGGGGTCGCTTCCACCCCCCGGCTGGCCGTGCGGTTGTTGCTCCTTGCTTCAGCGGCACGTGTTATTTGTTTGCCAGCCACATCTGCCTCCTCCAGGAGCCAGGCTGGGCGTGGGGGAGAGGTGGGTGCAGGCTTGTCACTTTCAACTCCGGCGCGTCCCAACTTTGCTCCTGTGCCTTTAAATTAAATACCCGGCGCGTGGGGCTGGGCCGCCTCCCACCAGCTGCTCGGCACTGGCCTCTGCAGCGCCCTCTATCATGCAGCAGGGATAATGACATGTGCTTGCTGCAACAGGGAGGAAGCAGCCTCCAAAGCAAGCGGGAGGGAGCAGTGAGCTCAGAGGGGAGAGGGGATTTCAAAGCCAAATGGCTGATGGGTTAATCAAACCTGCCAACCCACTGGATGGCGAGGCAAGATGTGTTAAGATAAGAACAGGCATTTGTGTCTGTGCCCTGCCTTGTACCACAAATGAGTCAGTCCCTGCCCCCCAAAGAACCTACCCCAGAGTAGCCCTGATCTTGTAAGCAGAGCCACACAAGCAGTACCCAGCACTAGCTTTAGAGCTGGACTGGTTTGTCTTCATGGGGGACTTGGCACAGGTGTAAGTTGTTAGGAGCATAGAATTCCTTGCTTAAGGGCCCAGTCCTGCAAACACAGCCCTGCCTTTTTTCTAGTGACTAATGTGGGCTTGATGCTTGCCTTTCTTAACCCTACCTTATGTCCCTGTTACTCCCCTGGCTTCTGGGAGTTACTCTGGAGATGAACTGCAGTCATGAGACAGAAGTGGGCCCAATGGGAATTTTAACATGAAAAAGGCAACTCCTCTAAATATTTGCAGGGAAACCTAAGGAAGGGAGTAATTTGTCTGGGAGAGAGAGAAGGTTATATATATATTTTTGTGGATTTTACTCCTCACTTTTTCCTTTTCTTTTAGCAAGCTTCTTTTTTAAAAAAAAGGAAAATTAAATAGATGCTTTTAAAATAAGGAGAAAATTAGAACTTTTTTCTTCCTTTGCTTCTTCTTTTTAAAACCACTAGAATGTTGCGTAATAATTATGCAACATACTCCAGCCACCTATTATAAACCACATCCTAGGGCTCAACCTTGCAGGCTTCAGTGGGAGCAGATGATGTGCAACATGTCATATGATCAAGCTCCATGTGACAGTAATAGGAGGCCGTTGTGCATAGTGCAAACAAACAGTGTTTGTTCTTGTTGCACTTATGGAAATGTTATTGTGATGTTTGACTAGGAAGATCCTTAGGCACTCGGGTTGTTGTTGATCACAGTGTCTAAAAGCCAGGTAGAAGACAGAGCTTTTATTTTCTTCCGATTGTTAATATGTAGCCCAGCAAAAAGAGCAGTAATGGTGAATAGATTGATCTATTTTCAGTTTAATTCTGTTTTAAATTCAGGAATGTGAACTGACAAGAATCTATTTGGGATGACATCTTTATAATGGTAACAGTTATTAACAGAAAGGGAACTACCTGGTCAGGAGTAATGCACGGTACTATCCATAGATGTCAAAGAGAAGGCTCCCAATATTCACTTAGGTGATTAAAGAAGGGTAAAGGTACAAATTATGGAATCGCTACTTGGGCAAATTTATTTTTGAAGTCCATCTGCCTTACTTTGCTTTGAAGGTGATGTGACTTTGGGGTGTACATGTGCAAAGAATGTAGAATTGGGCCAAAGGTATCCCAAAGCATTAGCCAAGCAGCTGAAAAAAACACCAAACCCCTAACAAAAATTCCAGAGAATAAACAGCAGGACAGTAAATGATTCATTACTAGAGGGAGGTGGGAAGAACCAATGGGATTGCACAGTGTGAGTAGGTGTGTCACCCATGGTGTCTGTCCTCAGAACTTGAGAGGCATGTTTGCAAAAGCCAGAGAGTAAGCTGTTCAACATCCCAGGTGTTCACAGGCCTCCCTCTCCCTTTCTCATTCTCTTTGAACCAGCCTTATCTTCATCCCCTATTTCTCCAGCAAACATGACTAGCCTGAAGGAAATTTGTGGGGGACTTCCACTACATCCCTTGCCTGAAAACAGAGGGCAAAAGAAAGGAGTTCCTCATGCACCTGTGAGAATCCCCAACCTCACCGCTCAGGAAGAAAAGGTAACATGGGCTCTGTGGACCAAACTTCCCCTCCCACCAGATACTCACCATCCAAAGCAACAGTGCTTCTGCCTTAACGGCTCCACATGGACTGGGGTCCAAAGTACAAGGCAATTAAATAAGTTTTAATAGTTGCTTTATTGTCACGGAGCTGACAGATAACAGGCAAAGCCAGGGAGACTCATCTGTTTTTCACCTCATTGCTTCTCCCCAGAGAAAAGCTTGAGATACATTGGTGAGGCAGTGTGGGGGAAGTTTGCATACAGGATTTGGTCACCAATGACGAGGAGACTTTTCACAAGGCATTTTATGAGTATCTCCCCTATTTAAAAAATTCTTAGTGTACGTGTATGCAGCTTCACCCACAAAATTGATCAACACAAAGTACAGAAGATCAAACCATCCACATATGTTCCTTTTTGGTTTTGCATTTTAAGATGTTACAGGCGAAAATATATTTAAAAGCTAATCAGAAATGGTGCTCTCTGCAAAGGCACAGACTTCAAGGGTTTGGGTTAATGATTTGTTCTCAACTGTGCAACTCTCTCTCTCTCTCCTTGTTTGACTAGGTAGCTTGCACTGTTACGTAATTGATTAGGCTCAATTCTTATTAGAGATTTTTACAATTTTAACAACGAAGAGGTTACATTAAAACACAAGTCAGCAAGAGTTTTGCATGTTCAAGGGAGCAGGAGGGTTCCTTGATGCTGTGAATGGACATGTTTCTTCAGAGAATAATAGCAACAATAATCTAACATTGTAACCAGCTCCTTTCCCCTCCCCCATACTAGACACACAGGGACACCGTCACAACTGATGGAAGTAGGCACAACTCCATAGACTTCTTTGGTACTACACCTGCGTATGTGAGTGGTCAATTGGCACTTGTGGTTAGATTCTTTCTGTCCATTTCTACAAGCAAGGAGGAACCAAAGTAGTTTAAAAGCAGCTGGGGTGGAGCTGTGTACTTGGGGAAACCCATTTCTCTGTGCTGATTTTCCCCCCAGTCTTTGAGACTCTATGAAAACCCCATAGATTGAGACTCCAGGAGTATTTGGAACAAGAAGGGAACAGCCATGAGAGATCCAGTTAGGAATTAGTACTGTGTTGAGCAATGTTAGTTGCTGAGGAATGCTCTCCTTGGTTATTAAATTGCAGCCATACGGGTTAACAATTGCATGGCTCTGGAAGGACTCATGCTACCAGCAGGAGGAGAGATCAGTGGAGCAGCTGTGCAGAGGTACAGGATCTCCATAGATGTTCAAGGATCTCTATGGACTACAGATACTCACGTTGGCAGGCCAAACACCCTCTCTAGCAAGGAGAGATCCTCACCCTTTTTCTCCTATAAAATGACAAGGCAGGTATTCTATAAATGGAAACTAGTACAGTTTCCTGCCCCTACGCATAACTTTGCAAAGAGGAAAATACTTTTATTATCCACATTGTTTCCTCGGGTCAAGTGTTTTCTGTGAACCAACCCAGTGGAAATTGGTTTAGTCCCAGTCTTGTTTCCAGCATCCTCCTTATTATCTTCCCTTCTTATCAGTAGCAGTTAATAAAAGGTCATGCTGATTGTGGATTTTTTTATTGGCCTGTTAAAGATTTAAAAGCTTCTTTTCTGATTGATTAAGCTTTTAGTCCTCCACCTTTAAATTCCTAACAGGTTCAGAGTCTCAGCTGGTTTTTATTTGTGACCAGAAAGCCCAAATGCCTTCCTTGCTTAAGAAATACAATCTTTCTCCAAGGTGGTTTCAAAACCTTGAGACGGGAGTCCAGTCTTTACCAGGGATGTGTAATGCTGAGACTACCTGAAGATTTTTCTTTATATACAATGATACATTTATTTTCTAATAAAACAAACTAATGAGCAAAGGATAAAAGCAGTGTAGCACCTCAGGTGGCATGGAGTCAATGGAGCTCTGCTGATTTACACTTGCTGAGTACGTTTATATTCCTTTCGTCTAAGTTTTACTGTATTTGCAATAATAATTCTAAGCCATTGCAATGTTTTGTTTTCTTGTGCCTCTGTTTCTGGTTGTAATATAAAGCCTTTAAGTGAGATTAAGAAAAATCCATGTGCCTTGGGGTTTACTGACAAGCTCTCCAGGTAACCCTACCATACAATGTTTAATCTCTTTGGGATAAACCGAACCCTTTCCAAAGACCTGTTTTGCGTATACGTTGTCTGATCTCTCTTGCTTCCACTTCAATGGCCTAGGGCTTGAAACAGTCTGAAAGCTCAAACTTTCTGTTCTTCAGCTTCCATCAGTCAAGCTAAACAGTCTGCAAACAGAATGCCCCTGAAGTGTCACGTTCAATGTTTCTTCTTTACAGAACAAGAGTGCAGGGCACAGTCAGTGCTCTTGTAAGTGCTAATACAGCTGATGCTGATCATGCATATGCATGCAGAGGAGACAATATACCCAACAACATTAGAGTCAGAGAGTCAGCAACATGGCTATATGAAAAGTCACTTTCTTACTCAACCTATGGCCCTGTGGCCCTTTGAGTCACATCTGTCTATATCACTGACAAAACCTAGTTTTTTTAACTTTCTGTGATTGAATTGCTGAAACTAGAGAAGAGCACACTGGATTCTACACTGCCTCACACGTCGTCATCATCAACAACGTTTTGATTGGAGGATCTTTAGTAAATTGTTATGTTGCAATAGGCATGGGTCTGGATTTTCAAAAATAAGAGCCTAAAGTGGACTCTTTTACAAAATTGCTGAGTCCTCAACAGCTCTCTGAGGGTATGTCTACACTACAAAGTTAGTTCGAACTAACGGACGTTAGTTCGAACTAACTTTCATAGGGTATGTCTACACTACCCTCCTAATTCGAACTAGAAGGGTAATGTAGGCATACCGCACTTGCAAATGAAGCCCAGGATTTGAATTTCCCGGGCTTCATTTGCATAAAGCCGGCCGGCGCCATTTTTAAATGCCGGCAGTTCGAACCCGTGCCGCGCGGCTACACGCGGCACGGAGTAGCTAGTTCGGATTAGAGGGCTGATGGCTGAGTGTTGTGATGTGCCCAGTGTGGGCACTCAGGGCACTCCAGGCCAGGACTGCTTTGCAAGCGGGGCACTCCTTAGAACTGTCTGTCCGGGGTGGGGGTCGGGACCCTTTAAGCACAGCCCTCGGCTAGCCTGAGACAGCATCTCCACGCTCTAAGTCCTCCTCTGATGCCCTGCCGGCACTGCTTCCGGCCATCCTTAACCCCGCTTCAGGGTCCACTTAATGTGGACGCGCTAGTTCGAATTAGCAAAACGCTAATTCGAACTAGTTTTTAGTTCTAGATGCGTTAGTTCGAATTAGATTAGTTCGAATTAACTAATTCGAACTAAGTTAGTTCGAATTAGCGCTGTAGTGTAGACATACCCTGAGAGAGCTATAACTGGGAGCTATTGCTTAATCAGGCCACTGAGTTAGACAATCAGGCCACTGAGTTAGAAACAACATATGGAACGAACAACGTAAATCTAGGCTTCTGCTTTTGAAAATCTTAGCCAAAATGTACCAGCTGGATTTTCAGAACTGATGTGCAGTTTACAGCAATGGCCAGTCAGAAAGATTCACATTTACTTCTAAACTGAGAAGTACTGGGTGCTGTTGAGAGATAACACATAAAACACATAATTCCATGATTACAATCACTTTTCAAAGGATAATCCCACTACAAATGCCTTAGAATCACCAAATACAAGAAGATAAATGGGAGGAAGGAAAAGATAATCTCATTGTTAAAGAACAGAACAAGGAACCAAAAAATGAATGTGATTTTGGGTGTTACTTCTCTGGACTTCAGTTTCTCATCAGTAAAATAGGAACAATAATACTGACTTTCCTCCCAAGGCGGTTGTAAGGCTTCATCTTTATGTGTGTAAAGTGCTTTGAGATCCTCCAGTGGACAGTATTCATAGTGCTATTATGAGGGTAAACCTGAGGCCAGTCAGATAAATCGTGTCCCAGATACTGGCTTTTAGAAAGGAGGAAAGAACAGCCACTAAAAAGATTCTAATATTCTTAGTTTCTCAAAACATTCTCATAACAAAGATGTATCCGACTCCTGTTGACTTCAACGGAAAGGGCATGCTCTGCCTAGAACACAGTGGACTGTGTGAACTCTATTGAGCAAGAAAAATGAACTGCTAGTAAAGCACTCCAAGATGAGAGCAAAATATTAGTTATAATCTACCAAGAATATCTAAGAACCAAGTGTCAGGTTTGTATATTGTACTTAAGTGGCCAGATTAAACAAGGGTACGTCTACACTGCAAGTTTATTTCGGAAACAGCTATTCCAGAAGATATCTTCCAGAATAGCTTATTTTGAAATAGAACATCCATACTACAGGGAAACCTCCAAATTACTCTGAGGCAGGCTCCCCTAATGTCAACATGCTATCTTGATTTAGAGCCCCAGGAGGCACTGAGGAGGAATAACTTAGAATGGCCCTGGTGAGGAGCTATTTGATATAGCAGCAGTGGAGCATCCACTCCACTTGAAAAGGGAACAGAAAAAGTACATAAACTCAGCAAAAAAAATCCAAACAGTTATTCACAAAAAAGTATTTGCACCATTTGCTCAGTTCTTTCATGTATTTGTTGAACTGTATTTGTAGATTAGGTAAAAATATCCCTAACAATCCTATTATACTACAAATAATGCAAGATACAAATAATTAACATTGATGACTTTGGCCAGGTTAGAAAATAACATTTTCATTCCTCCAGCACTTGATAGTCAACAAATGTAGCAATATTTTCCTTGTTACACATTTTCCCCTACCCTACACATATAGGCAGTCCCCGGGTTAAATAAATCCGACTTATATCGGATCCCTACTTACAAACGGGGTGAGGCAACCCCGCACTAGCTGCTTCCCCCCAGCAGACCAGGGAGACGCGAAGCTAGTGCCCCCCCCAACAGACCAGGGAGACGCGGAGTGGCTTTTCTCAGCAGACACCTCAGCTTGAGAATAAAGGACTGAGGGAAGTGAGGTGTGGGAGAATAAAACTGAGCTCTGGCGAAATGTTTGGCTAGAGCTACAATATGTACCAGTTCCGACTTACATACAAATTCAACTTAAGAACAAACCTACAGTCCCTATCTTGTACGTAAGCCGGGGACTGCCTGTAATTGTATGCCAAATAATTGTATTTTGTTTTTAAAAGTGTGTGTGACAAAATTTATCCTCTTATTTGAAATTCTCCAGCCCCAAGTCACTGTACTTATGACTTGTTGCACTGGATATGTCCGCTAACAAAAAACAGCCTTATCATATATTAGGTATTGCTAGGATTTTTGTGTTAGTTAGTAACATGCTCTTGAAAAACAGCTGCTTATCAAGCTGCTGAAGGGATGGTCAAATTTAAAACAAATAATTTGCATTTTCTACATCCAGTGAATGGATTTTTTTTCTTTTCACGCTGTTGATAAAATGGTGAATTGCAGCCTCTGGATTTTATTGACTCTCAACTGATGTAAATGGTCATATTTCTGTCACCCTCCATGATGATCTGACCTTATGTGCTCAAAAGTAAGCACACCAATGCCAGGTACATTAGTCCATGGACCAAGTGGTCCGCAACTGTCTTGCAGGTGGGTCACAGGCTCAGAACTGCCCCCACCCCTGCAGCGGGGAGCCTAGGCTGGTGCTCCAGACCCATGCCCCCCTCCCCACAAGGTTGGAGCGCCAGTTCCCACTGAAGGGGAGGGGAGGGGGCCCAAGCCTCACAGTCTGGATCTGGCTCAAGGGGAAAGAGAGTGATTCTGTGCATTGCTGCTTCTTCTCTCCCTGGCTGGGGGAATGGCAGCACAGGAAAATGCTCACCTGGAAGCTTTTCTCACTGCTTCCATTGGCCAGAATCATGGCCAATAAGAGCAGTGGTGGGCAGTGCCCGGGAGCAACAGGAGACATGGAGCTCTCCCTATTCCCCTCATGCCCAGACCCCGCACCTCATTCCACTCATTCGCCCTCCTCCCACTAAGGCCCCGCACTCTCAGCCCTCTCCTGCACCTTCCCTCCCAGACTCCCCACTGCCACCCTGCTTCTACACCCAACTTCCAAGCCAGACCCCACATCCCCGCCCCTCCTTCAGACATTTTGTCATCATGGGTGGTTGGCTGGTGGTCCACGGTAAGTTCTGCCTTGAGCAGAGTGAGCCAAAGTTTGAGAACCACTGTTCTAAGCCCATAGTCCACTGAAGTCCACTAGAGATTTGTTACTAGGCCAAGGCTTGGGTTTTGTATGGCTTTTAAGGGCTTTTGCTGAAGTGTCTTCTCACTCTAGAATAATGACTATACTGAGAATAATAAGGTTCAATCGAGTCCATGGGTTTTACTGTCCTCTGTTCTAGGTGCCATGATTCCCATACTGCACTACTCCAATTTGCATTCTTTATAAATTATCTGCATCCATGGCTCCCTCATGCAGCCACCAGAGGGTGCTGCAAGGGCATATGTATTTCCCCCTCCCCAAAACCAAAGTCTCTCCCACATTGTAAGTACTTGTGAACTCACCAAATCATAAAATAAACTGTATCTCCAGTCCCTTCAAATCACCCATATGAAACTATTAAGTTAAATGTGATTTGAGACTATCTTGACCGGAAAGCAGTTTGCATAGTGCTTCCATTCATAATTCAAGTAGGAAATATTTTTTGTGACCTTTGTGTGTAATTAGCCGTTTAAAGATTTTAAAATTATTGTCCTCATTATGGCTCTACTAAGGCAGAATGTGGAATACATATCGGTTACATGATTTAACAAATGTTATACTAAGATAATAGCATATGTGTATCACCTTTCATCTCAAAGGAAATCAATGTACTTCGCAAAGTATCGGCAACATTTCTGCAGGCAGAGGGAATACAGCATCTTAGCACAGCCTGCAGAATTTAATTCTATGTGCAAAAATAAGTGTAATATGAAATTACTTCTACTGCTGAAGAAAATTGTAGCAAATACATAATAACGCATAGCAATACAGTACGCAAAGGCTTGGATTGCAAAGTGTTATGAATACTAATGCAACTGAAATGTAGGCAAGAAGACTCATAAGCAAACAGCATGTAATGTGAATCTGCCTCTGTCACGGGTGAAAATCCTTCTCTAATGAAAAGTGTCATAAGAGCTACGCACCCACCATAGGCCAGGGCCTCACGGTTGTCATGTCTGAACAATGGCTACTTTGGCAGCACAGTTCCCCCTAGCATAATAGAGAATTGGTTTAGTTCTGACTTACAAGAAGGAACACTAGGTACTCACCACATGACCAAAACCACTTCCTGCAATGCCTGTTTTTTCAGGCTATGTTGAACAACTGTAAAATAAAATAACTTGACAAAAATATAGCTTCAGTTAACCTTATCAATTCATAGGTTGATTTTCTGAGTGATGGAACAGTGATAAATAGCTGATGAGTATCAAGAAGTGTGTGTGTGTGATTTGCCTAAATTACCACTCACCTGTGATTATTTGGGCATTTCAAATTTTACATCAAATATGCAGCATTTTGTATGATTTCTCTCGCACAAGTACATTAGGTTTATTTATTTAAATGTTGGACAAAATGACTTTATTCATTCAAGCAATTCATTTTCCATGTTTAACATTCTGCATGTTTTGCATATTTTTGTTTTCCTTTCCTGAAAACAGTCTTATTTGTTCTCATTTTTGTTCAAAAATCTGCCCATTTTAGTTGAAATTGACCTTAGTTTTGCCGCAATAACGTGCATTCCTTAGCAAGGTTTTCTATGAAAGTCAGTCCATTTTCCAGTTTGTAAGAAATGTGAAAAATCTTGAATTTATATTTCATTATGAGGATTTCACAAGGTTACTTTTAATAGGAGATATCCTACAAGAATCCACTATCAAGTGTAGATATCCAGCTATGAGTATACTCAGAGTGAAATTTATCTTTATGCAGAGAAATCTTTATACATCTCTGTTGTTGGATTCTCTTATTCAACATCTTAGAGAAGCTGATTGTCTTTCCCAGTCTAGCCCATTTGTGCCATTCCAGCGGTGCAAAGAGGTTGTAAACTGGTTGTATCTCCACAGTTAAGGCTTCCCTGGCCTCAGGGAATCTTCACTTGCTTAGAGACAGCAGAGCTGTTTCCTACATCACTGCCTTTCTGGCTGAGTGTAGTCGGATGCCATCATAGAACCCTAATGCCTGGTTATTATCAGCTGGCTCCTTTGCTGTCCTCCCCTCTCTCTGCTGCTGTGGTTGGTGGAGACTAGAGTGTTTTCTGTTTGTGCAAGCATTAGGATGAAGCAATAACATCATAAATGCTTTTGTTTTTTCATTTCTTAGATTCTTATTCTTTTCTTTCAGTCTGGGCAGGCTTCCCATTATATCGGTTAAAGCTCATGTTGTTATGATAACCACCCACCTAGTCGTCCTCATTTATCTTTGCCCTTTTCTTTGACAGCTGGCTTTGCAGAATGCCCTGCGTTATTTCCCACCCGAAATCCATAAAGAACTGGCGCTGGAATTTGCAGATGAGCTGAAGCTCTATGGCCATATATACATGTACAGATTCTGTCCTGAAATCGAGATGAGGTAAGGTTTGGAGGGCAGTCACTTGCCACTGCCATGCTTGTACTCTGGATATGAAATTCACTACTGTGTCTCGTGTGTAATAACAAAATAGTAATTTCATTTGTATTGAGGCTTGGTCATAGTGTTGCAATGCTGCCCCATAAGCTGCATAACAGAGGTTCTTCGTATTCCGGTCTCTCCAGTGCTCTCTAGCCACACAGAAAATTCCCTTTGGTATTAGTGAGCATTCCACTGCCCAGCAAGGGAAATGTTGGGCACCTTTGTGGGTGGCCAATAGATAGGTCTTCCCTTCTCTAGTCCTTGTTACATTGTGGTCCTCATTTGAAAGCTGGTCTAATCTAGAGACAGGGCTGCCTGGATTGTGCCATGTAGGACTCTGACAGTGATTTAAAGGGCCTAGGATTCCGGCCGCTGCTGCTGCTGCTGCAATAGTGGTGGCAGCGGCGAGGAGTCCTGGGCCCTTTTAAATTGCCAGATCCCAGGCCAGCTGTCCTCCTTACCCCCTACTGTCTTCCATGTTGGCAGCCCTGTCTAGGGACATTTACTTTGGGCTTTTACATTGTCAATTCCAGTTCCTGGAAAGCTTGTAAAACATTTGGTGTGAAATTCATCCCTGTGCAGAGAGACTGCACAAAGCCAATATATCACTGAAGTCTGACAAATGCCCACGTTGTACATAGTGTTTCACAAGCATCCAAAGTGCCAGCCCAACTGTACGAGTAAGTCTTATATGCACCGCTGATGCAGGATTATGTTGGCTGGCAAAACGACTCAGTTATTATTTATAGACTGCAGATTTCAACCTGTAGTCTGTCATTTTGTTGAAGCCAAAAGACGACGAGAAAGCCCCGTTCGTAAGTGCGGATCCAACATAAGTCGGATCCGCGTAAGTCGGGGACTGCCTGTATATCACTGAAGTCTGACAAATGCCCACGTTGTGCATAGTGTTTCACAAGTATCCAAAGTGCCAGCCCAACTGTACGAGTAAGTCTTATATGCACCGCTGATGCAGGATTATGTTGGCTGGCAAAACGACTCAGTTATTATTTATAGACTGCAGATTTCAACCTGTAGTCTGTCATTTTGTTGAAGCCAAAAGATGATGAATCAGTGGGAGAAATCAAATACTCTTGAATGGCTTGGGAACCTGATGCCTGACCCTGATCTGAAATACACTAGCCCTTGTTGACATTTGGAGCGTGCTGTAAAAGACAATAAATTTACTCCATCTTTCGGAAGGGGGCAAAGATTTGTGGAGCAGAGCAGTTTTGTCAAGGGACTGCTAGTGGATTAGCTGTTCTTTTTAGTCCGATTAGTTATGTTCTAATCTGTGTCAAACAAGGGCATGTTTAATATCTTAATAGAAATCTAAATAAATAAAACAAATAAGTATAAAGCACTCAGATGTTTGCAGACAGTGGTGTCTCCAAGCTGTCAGCACAAGACTGGGGGCCAAATCCTGCAGACCTGAACTAAAACAAAGTGCACTGTAAAAATGTTGGGAGTTTTCTCTGAACAGGACTGCAGGAATGGACTCTAGGTAGCACAAAGCACTGAGAACTAAAACATTGGGGATGAACTTACCACAACTGCGACTGGAGTACATGACTCACCAGGTCACTTCCATCTCTTGTCAATAATTCTTTGATTGCATCAGATATTTTTATAGCATGTTTATTTTTCGTTTTCCATTTATGCAACAGTTTATTTGAATCTTAAAAATAAAAAAAGTCTTTTCGTTTCCACCTGGGAAACTTTGGTTGTTCTCATTTGTTTATTTGTGTTTCCTATGGAATGTGGTCCAGCATGCTTCTGTTTCAATAATATCCTTGTTCAAATAACAACATTCTTTGTGATAGCAAATATCTAAGAATAGGTTGTATGGTTGCTTATGGAACCAGTCCTGTACTGAGGCAAGACTAAGTATTATCTAGACCATCCCTGACAAGTGTTTATCTAAACTGTTCTTAAAAACCTCCCCTAACAGAGCTTTCACAACCTACCTAGTTAATTTTTCCAGTTCTTAATTACCCTGACAGTTAGGAAGTTTTTCTTATGTCCAACCTAAATCTCCCTTGCTACAATTTAAGCCTATTGCTTCTTGTCCTGTCCTCAGTGGATAAGAACAATTTATCACCCTCCTATTTATATCAGCCTTTTATATATTTCATGTCCCCCTGCTCAGTCTTCGCTTCTCCAGACTAAACAAACACATTCCCCCCCCCCTTTCTCGCAGGTCATATTTTTTAGACTTTTAACCATTTTTGTTGTTCTCTTCTGAACTTTTTTTCCAGTTTGCTCACATCTTCCCTGAAGGGTGGTGTCCAGAATTGGACGCACCACTGCAGTTGAGATCTTATTAGTGTTGGAAGAGTGGAAGAATTACTTTTTGTGTCTTGCTTACAAAATTCCTACTAATACATCCCAGAATGGTATTTTCATTGTTTGAGAATAGTATTACACTATTGACTCGTATTTAGATTGTGATCCATTATAACCTCTGACCCTTTTCTGCAGTACTCCTTCCTACGCAGTAACTTCCCATTTGGTATTTATGCAACTGATTATTCCTTCCTATGTGTAATACTTTGCATTTGTCCTTATTGAATTTCATTCTCTTTATTTCAGACCATTTTATTTCAGATCATTTTGAATTCTATTACTGTCCTTCAGGGTGCTTATAATCCTTCCCATCTTGGTATCATCTGCAGACTTTTAAAGTGTATTTGTTAGCCATTATCCAAAACATTTGTGAAGCTATTGAATAAATCCAGACCCAGGACTAATCTGATTTAATATACCTTTCCAGCTTGGCTGTGAACCATAGATAACTACTTCCCATATATAGTTTTTCAAACAAGTGTGCACCCACCTTATAGTAGATTCATCTAGACCAGGCCTGGACAAAATACAGCCTGTGGGCTGCATCTGGCCCACCAAGCCACCAGATCCAGCCCGCGGATGTTACGGAGAGCCCCAGGAAGGCTCCCAACTTGCCTTACTCCACCCGCACACCACTAAGAAATGCAGTTGCGGGGCGGTTTCACTTTAAAAACTGAGCCCAGAGGGGAGGGGAGAAGGCTTTAGGAGCTGCTCCCACCCCCAGTACACTCCCATTGGCTGGCCTCTGGTCAGAAATTGACCAATGGGAGCTGCCTGTTTCCATAACAGCCAGCCACGAAGAACAAGGGGCTAGTAGTTATTCACAGAGCACATGGCTTCAGCCTGTGTGGGGATGGGGCAGGCAGGGAGGTTAATTCAGGAATGGGCTGCTGGCTGGTAAGTCTCCTGGCCAGAGCCTGTCTCTGCCACCCCAAACTTTCCCTTCCCCAACCCTCTGTCTCCCATTCCTGCCCCCCTACTCCATATATCCAAATCCTCTGCCCCCCTCCTACACCCATAACCCCTCCCAGATCTGGCACTCCAATTCCCTGCCCTAAATCACAGTCCCCTCCTGCCCTAGCTCACAACCCAAACCCGTGCATCCCTTCTGTACCCCAATTCCCTGCCTTAGGTCACAATCCAACCCCCTAAACCCCAGCCCAGTATCCTAGGTCACAACTGCCTCCTTCACTCATACTCCCTTCCTTATCCCACATGCATCCGACGAAGTGGGTCTTTGCCCATGATAGCTTATGCTCCAACACTTCGGTTAGTCTATAAGGTGCCACAGGACTCCTTGCCACTTTTCCTTACCCCAAGCTCCCTCCTGCACCTTCCTGCTCCATTTCAGACCCTGCACCTCCTCCATCAATATCATGAAATAGTGTAGCCTTTGACCATTTTCCAAACTTTTGGAGTACCCTCCCCCATAAAAATTATTGCCCACCCTTGATGTAGGCCAGGGTGGGCAATAATTTGGAGGGCCACTCCAAGATTTTGGAAAGTGGTCAAGGGCTGCACTTTTCTGTGGGCCACAGAAGGGCATACGGGGTAAGGGATTGGGGTGCAGGAGATGGTGTGAGGTCAGTAAGGAAGTTTGGGGAAAAAAGGGAGTTGTGACCTGGGTTAGGGGTGTAGTGTCAGGGAGAGGATTCTGGCTTGGGAGAGGGGCACTAGAAGAGGGTGCAAAGTCTGGGAGGGAGCTATGACCTGGCAGAAGGGGAAAAGGGGGTGCAGACTACAGAGGGTGTGGGTGGTGACTTGGGGCAAGAGATTGGGGTGCAGGATCTGGGAGGGCGTTTGGGTGCAGGAGAGGATTCTGGCCTGGGGGAGCGGTGTAGGAGAGGCTACAGGGTCTGGGAGGGAGTTGTGACCCAGGGCAAGGTGGTGCAGTGCGTTTGGATAGCGAGCTAGGGAGGAAGTTGGGATGTAGGAGGGGCTGGGATACCAGAGGCAGGCTCTGGCTGGGAGGTGCTCACCTAAGCCAGCAGCCCTGCAGCACCCCCAAACGGGCTGGGCTCTCTGCCTGCTGCAGCCCCAACTCACTTAAAACTGCAAGCTGCAAACCTCATGTGGCTCTCAGCTCTGGGAGGGGGAAGAGACTTGCCCCATCCTCCAGGTCAATCTCTCAGCTCTTATTGGCTGGTTGTTTCCAGCCAATAGGAGCTGAGAGATTGGCTTGGGTCAGTTCCAATGGGCAAGTTGTTTCTGGCCACTAGGAGCTGAGGATTGGGCAGGGAGATTGCAGGAAGCTTCCCCATCTCTGCAGAGCAGAAAGATACATGGACTGAGCTTTAAACTGCACAGCTACATGCCTGAGGGTATTAGGTTGTTTTAATGTGATTTGTTCATGACAAATCTATGTTGACTGTTACGTATTATCTTCTTATCCTCTAGGTGTATACAAATTAGTTTTTTTATTATTGACTCCATTATCTTTTTTGGCCTTGAAGTTAAGATGACAGGTTTAGAATTCTCTGAGTTGTTCTTATTCCCTTTTTTTATAGGCGAGTATTATAGTTGCTTTTTTCCAGTGCTCTGCAGTCTCTTCCATACTCCATAAATTCTCAGTGATAATGGAAAATGACTCAGATCTCTTCAGCCAGTTGCTTAAATATTCTAGGATGGATTTCATCAGGTCCTGCTGACATGAAGACATCTAACTTGTCTACATAATTCTTAACTTGTTTCCCGGTGCTAGCTACAGATCCTACCCCATTTACACTGAGGTTAGTCATCTCATTGCTAATCTTTTTGGTGAAAACTAAAACAAAGGCCATGTCTGCACTGGCAGTTACAGCACCAATCAGAGTGCAGCAATGAAAACACTGTTGTCCACACAGTCAGCTGCCAGTGCATTAGCATGACCACACTTGTGGCACTTGCAGTGGCTTTCGGAGCAGTGCATGCAGTACAGCTCTCTCAAAGAGCACGTCTTTCTCTTCCTCCACAGAGATTTTTGGAAAGGTGGAGGGGAAGTACGGAGTATCCTGGGCCTTGTCCCAGTGTCCCGTGGTGCATCATTTCACATCCCAACAACCCCTGTGCTTTTATCTGCATCTGGCGCCATCTTTCAAGGGCTTTTGTGCTGCGCGCTCCGCCTCCTCGATCTGCAGGAATGGATCCCCAGCTGTTGAAAATGCTGATAGGTTTCACTAACATATCAGAGTCAGGGTAATGACAATCAAGTTATTCCTGAAGCTGCAAAGTGACAATGAGGAGTCCACATACGACACACAATTTCTTGTGGCATTCACAGAGGTGCTGACCACAGTGGAATGCCAATTTGGGGCTTTGGAAACAAGTACTGAGTGGTGGGATCACAGCATCACGCAAGGCTGTGATGAGGAGCTGTGGCTGCAGAACTTTCGGATGAGGAAAGTCACTTTCATTGGACTGTATGCAGAGCTCGCCTCCCTCCCTGTGGCACAAGGACATGCAAATGAGAGCTGCCCTGCCAGTTGAGTAGTGTGTGGCGATTGCACTGTGGAAGCCAGATACTCCAGACAGCTTTCACTTGGTCGCCAATCAGTTTGGAGTGGGCCATCAATCACATTCTGCTCCAAAAGGCTGTGACTCTGGGCAACGTGTGTGAAATTGCGGATGGCTTTGCATCGATGGGTTTCCCAAGCTGCGGTGGAGTCATAGATGGCACACACATTTCAATTCTGGCACCAGACCACCTAGCCTCTGAGTGCATTAGCCAGTTTCTCTATGGTTCTTCAGGCACTTGCGGATGACTATGGTGTTTCACAGACATTAACACAGGCTGCTCTGGAAAGGTGCATGAGGCTCACGTCTCTCGGAACACTGGCCTGTTCAGGATGCTGCATGTGAGGACTTACTTCCTGGACCAGAAGATCACCATGGGGGAAGTGGAAATGCCTTTTGTTATCCTTGGAGACCCTGCCTGTCCCTTAATGGTGTGGCCCATGACATCATACATGGGGAGCCTTGACCATAGAAAGGAGCAGTTGAATAACAGGTTGAGCTGATTTGCCTGTCGGTATCATAATTCCTAGGGCTGAAGTGCAGCTGGGACTGGACAGCCTCTGCTCCCCAAACACTGATGTGATCCAACACCTTGGCATGTCCAAGCAGGGACTCTCCTGGTGTGTGGAGCAGGCATGGCCAACTGGAGAGAGGCACTGAGAACACACCACGAGTTTCTGAACAAACAGGAAGGAGACTTTCAAATTTTGAAAAGAACACAAAGGGCGGGTCTGAGGGTTGGTCACCTGAGAGCAGGGCAGTAGAGTCCAAACAGATGACCAGAGAGGCATGAGCTGGCATTGTGGGAAGGGTGCCAGAGGCCAGTCACACCGCAGTACTAAACTACTGTATCCACACTGGCACCCTTGTGCACTCTCCAGAGAGCAACAAGCTCTACGCTTCTCACGGAGGTGTTTTACCTAGAGCACAGCAACTGCAGAGCTAGTGCACCATAAATGCCTTGTCAGTGAGGACACCGTGGAAGTTACAGAGCTGGGAACTGATTCACTGCACTGTAACTTGCCAGTGTAGACTCGGCCAAAGAAGGCATTTAACATGTCAGCTGTTGCAGCCTTTTTTTTGTAATTGTCCTTCCTTCCTTCTCCTTGAGTAATGGTGTACCTAGTCCTCGGTCCTCTTCTTTTTTCCAATGTCTTTGTAAAATGTGTTCTGGTTACCCTTTATGCCCCTAATTAGTTTAATCTCATTTTGTGCCTTGGCCTTTCTATTTTTGTCCCTACATTCTTATGTTGTTTTCTTGTATTCATCCTTCATAATCTGACCTAGTTTCAGCTTTTTTGTGTGATTCTTTTTTGAGTTTTAGACCATTGAAGGTCTCCTGGTTAAGTCAGTGCAGTCTTAATGTATATCTTTCCTACTCATTGGAATTGCTTGCTCTTCCAGGGGTGAAAGTAACTTAAATTTCTTAGAGGTACTGTCATATTGCATCCTCCCTGCCCCTGGGAGGGGGCCAGGACAGGGCCCTGGGGGGTGTTGCGACAGAACAGTACCTGTAAAACATTTAAGTGTGGGATGGAGTGCTAGAGGCTCAGGGCAGGGTGCTGGGTTGTGTGTGGGTGTGGGGGACCTTAGGGCAGGGATTGGGGATGTGGCGGTAGAGGGGGCACAGGAGTCAGGGCAGGGGGTTGACAGTTGTAATGGGCTCAGAGCAGGGGTGTGGAGGGAGTGGGGTGTGCAAGAGCCGGGGCAGGAAGTTGTGCGGTGTGTGTGTGGGGGGGAGCTCAGGGCAGGGGATTACTGTGTCAGAGAGGCTCAGGTCAAGGGGTGGAGGAGTGTGGGGGGAGTTCAAGGATGGAAGTGAAGGCGCTGGGCTGCCCAACTACCAGATCCTTGGGCAGTGGAGAACATGCTATCTGGCCACTGCGCCCCTGAGGCTGGCCAGGGCAGCAGGGACCACACAGCCCAGGATGCGGGCAACATCCAGAGCCCTGCTCCTAGCCAGCCAGTCTCCTCGGTGCACTGGCATACTTTTACCTTTGCTCATCCCCTAAATAATGTCTCTTTTAAAAACTGCCAGTTCTCCTGAACTCCTTTTTCCTGATGACTTGCTTCTCACAGAATCTTACCTACCAATTCTCTACGTTTGCTGAAATCTGCCTTCATGAAGTCCTCCTGCAATGAGGTTTAACAGGTAGTTCGAAATAGGGCTTTATTTCAAACGCCTGTTTCATGGCCGGTGTAGACACGGGCAGTTATTCCAGGCTTGTACATTTCAAAAATGGCGCCTGGCCAGGAAGATGCAGATCAAGCGCAGGATATGTATATCCCGGGCTTGATTTGCAATTCCGAATGCCTACATTTGCAGCCCTATTCCGAAATAGGCTGAAAGTGTAGACATACCCTATGAGATCACGTCCATCTCAACCTCAGTACAAGTGTGTACAACTTTGATATGTGTATCCATTAATCTTATGTCATAATAAATTATTTTAGTTATCCAGTACTTGTTTTGTTATTTCCCCCAAACAAACAAAAACCCATGCATTTTTTAAAAAGCAACTTTCTTTTTAGTTTAGTGGTGATTACAAGACAGTTTTCTCTTTGTCTTCCAGAATACAGGTAAACAAAAGGAAATACGTGTAAGGGGGTGAGACCAGCTACTAAATTTATGCAATACACATTTTCAGTTTGGAGTTACAAGTTGGTCAGCCAATGTCTGATCAATGTCACTGGCAGGTATCATCCAAACCTGTTCAGATTAAACATCTTTCTATATGAAGCAGAAGTCTATCCATCACATGTCTGTGTGCAAACAGAAGGATACCGGTTTAGACATATCAAACATGTCACTCTGTCTATCCTGCCAGAATGACCTTCTGATGGCCATAACAGCTTTTCTGCTTGTGGAATAGGAGGAAGCAAAATAGTGAAACCTTTTTATGATGGTTACACACTTTTTGATGTTATCAGTATGATTGATGTGGTTTAGCTCCTCGAGGTCCCTGATCCATTGTGCTGTGCCCTGCACAAACATATATAAAAAAAGTCCTTACCCTGAAGAATGTACAGTATAAGCATAAGAATAAACATCTCAGAACAAGCTGATATAACAAATAGTGGAGGAGGAGGAGGAGTGCAGGGTAGCAATGAGACAATAGCCCTGAAGAGTGATCTTGTTCTGTAAAATGGGTCTGTAGAAATACCACTGCAGGATTCCATTTACATTAGGTCTCAGTGATTTCTAGATCAAATGTTCTCAGCTTACAAATAAAAATGTAGATTTTGTTCTAACTGCTAACCTTGCAAACTCAATCTAGGAAAGGAGAATCAAGCTGGGACCTTTTCTTCTCCAGCATCACAAATGGTACAGGCCAAACTGTGCCCTCAGTGAAACCTGGGGAGCCCTACTGTCTTTGGTGGAGTCACATGGATATAACTGAGTGGCCCTGAAATTGGCACCTAGAAAACAATGCTGGTGATGGGACACTAGAAAGTATTGAGCTCTCTTTTCCATTGGTTTTTCAGGGCTATCAGTAGTAACAAGAACACATTAGATCCTATTTGTGAATAATTGATTCAACAAATAAAGGTAAAAAAATGCTGAATAAAAGTATTTATAAATATTCTTGGATTAGCTTGGATGAATCTCAAATACATAAACTGATAATCTACAGAAGTGGTTTTTTTTAGGCTTGAGCTGTATTTTATTTTTTGTTTCTTCTTTCCTTGTGAATCAGTACCTGCAGCTTCAGGAAGTTTGGGGGCAGCTAAATATGTCATTGTCTTTTTTTTCTTAAGCAAAATCCTTACTGACATCCAAGTATATTTGTTTCAGAGCATACCCCATAGAGGAATATCCTTGCAAAACCAAACCAGCTGCTGCAATAATGCACATGATCATGAATAATCTGGATCCCTCAGTGGCCCAGGTAATGTACCATAGAAATAAAGGAATGGAACTTAAAAGTAATTCACTCCTTATGCTCACATATACACTGAGTATTTTAGGACCTATGCAAGATTTGTGTACCACTTACTCTCATTCAGATCTTCAATATAAGGATTAAATGGGATTGAAGTGGTGCTTAAATCTTGTGCTGGTCCTCTACACAAAGGTGATTTCATCTCCAACCACTGTAGAGCTGGCTTCTTTTTATATGAGTTAAACAGCCATTTTGAGAATCTGCAGGCGAGTGTATGTATAGTGTGGGATGCCAAAATGATACTTTTTGTGGGAGTGACCCTGCAAGGTTTCTGAGCATCTCCTGGAGGACTGAGGACCAGCCACTTCCTTTTGTTTTAATTAGGGTTAAGAGTGCACCATATTTCTCAGGACTGGGATCTGTGTAGGGCTTAGACTTGCAGTCCCATATGATGTAATCCTAAGGACTTTAGTGGGAATTATGCATGTCAGAGGCATACAAAGTGGGGCATTTTTAGATGCTAAAGCTATGATTTTTATGATTTATGATTTTTAACCTCTATTGGGACACACTGAAGTGGAGTTGGTGACTACTGGAGGTTCTTTATCTAGTTGACTTTTTTTTTTAATCAATTAGGCTTTTTTAAAAATCAATTATGGGAGTCCAGAATACCTGCAGCCAAGATGTTCAGTTTGGTTGGAGGAAAGGGGTGGGATTTTGGCTGTGTAAATTTATAGGCCCTTGTACACATCCGTAAATGTGGTAAAATTATTGTCTTCTCTCACACTGGGAGCCACTGAGTCTAGAGAGCAAAGCAAGATGATTTCCTGGAGGTTCTAGCTTTCCTCCAATGATGAAGTTAAGGGGCTGTAGAATCTGGAGAGTGATCCCTGCTTATTCCATGGATACCAAGAATCTGCAAGGAAGAAATACCCTTCCTCCACCACTCCAACCAATGTGGGCAAGAGCTATGCAAATAAATGGCTCTAATTCTCATTGTTACAGAGGAGCCATTCCGAAATATTGCAGGAAAGCACTAGCTGTAATGTAATTATATTGTGCCTTTCTTAGTTTCCCCAGGAGCTTGTAACTTATGGAGGAAATGGACAAGTCTTCAGCAACTGGGCTCAGGTATGACATGGATTTATTTGCAACCAGAGGCCTTGTGAAAAAGTAGATCAGATTTCACCCATCTGACCTCCATTCTACTTAGGCAGAGTTTGTGATAAATTCTTGGCAGTCATTGTCTCATAATATTCCAAAACATCCTGTTTGGGTAGATGAATGCTGAGTTATTAACTCTAAAGATATACAGAGCTTTTAGTGAGGAAAGCACATGCTGCCAAATAGAAATGTTGTGATGATAATTGTGTATTTTAAGATAATTTATTTTCCTTCTTTTGTACATCTGCCATGCACTCCTGGTTTGTTCAGATAATTTTAAAGGCAAACTGCATCCTAAGATGTAATAATGCATATTTGTTTGTTTCTTCTAATTTCACACTAGTTCATAAAACATGCAACTCACGTACAATGTTCAGTTTGACTTAAAAAGCACAATCTTGAGTCTATTTCCAACAATTTTAAAAAAATAGCTGAGGACATTTGAGAAGTACTAGCTGACCATTTCTTTGTCCAGTTTAGCTTCAGTTTTGGTAACACTGAAGGTATGTCTAGACTACATGGCTCCGTCGATGGAGCCATGTAGATCAGATTATTAGACATAGCAAAATGAAGTGGCAATTGAAATAATCACTGCTTCATTTACATCAAAATGGCCACCGTGCTGTGCTGACAGTCAGCTGATCAGCACAGTGGGGCAGTCTAGACTCTCCGCGGTCAACAAGGGAAGCCTTTGTTGACCGCTCCGGTATGCCTCATGAAACGAGGTTTACCGGAGTGGTCGACAAAAGCTTCCCTTGTCAACCGCGAAGCATCCAGACTGCCCCGCTGTGCCGATCAGCTGATTGTCGGCACAGCGCGGTGGCCATTTTGATGTAAATGAAGAGGCGATTATTTAAATCATTTTTCTATGTCTAGTAAACTCATCTACATGGCTCCGTCGACGGAGCCATGTGTTCTAGACATACCCTGAATGACTTTGGTAAAGAGGTATGGTCAAGGTTTAAATCTAAATTCTGGGTCTGGAAGGTTTAATGGTTCCTAAAATCCAAAACTTAAACTTGGGGTCAAAGCTGGGTTTAAATCTAAATTCTGGGTCTGGAAGGTATAATGGATCCTAAAATCCAAATCTTAAACTTGGGGTCAAAGCTGGGATTGCAGAACATGGTGGAAGACACCCATATTGCCTGATAGCTCAATAATCTTGTAATTTAATGTTACTCCCCCACTTGTACAGATACCTTGCTCACACCAATGTCTGTGGGAGTTTGCTTTCCCCTCTAGAGGAAAAGATTTTAAAATGTCAGGTGTTGTTCTACTCATAGAACAAACCTCTGCACACTGTATTGTCTCCATTCTTCATTGTAGTGGCATGCAGTGCAGTGTAGTAACCCAAACACTTTGCAAACACTGAAATTTGCACATGAAAAAATATTTCAACAAAATCACTGACATTCAATGAGCGTCTTTCATACACCCCTCATTCAGCAGAGTATAAAGACAGTTCCTATGAACTCAGAAACTACTCCCTCCATGAATCCCTTTGAGATGCAAAACATTCCAGAGGTGGAAGAGAAGAGAAATGTGGTGAGGCTATTGTCTTTTCCTGCTGCTGGTAGATCTGGACAGGTATGCAGGCAGGAATATGTTGCATCCACTGTAAGGGATATAGCAAAGACATGAGCCTCTCCCTGCAGACTGGAAGATCTAGAAGGATTCTGGCTGTGAATTCCTTCCAGAGCTTACATGAGCTCTGCACATTATTCTGAGACTTCTCTGCACTTCACACAGATAAAAATACCAGTAAAACAGAAATGCACTGGATCAGGTATATGCCTGCTGAAGCTTCTCTGATTTTGGTCCCTTGTTTGTTTTACAAAAAATACCTTAATTTACAGATAAAGGTAAATGAATGGTTTTGTGGTTATGGAACAGGTCTGTGTGATGACAGACCTGAGTTTTATTGACAGTTCATGTGAGACCTGGGGCACATCACTTGTGCCTCAGTTTCCAAATCTTTGAAATGTGGGTTGTAGTCTTTACCCCACTAAAAGGGCTTTTTGAGGATAAATTAATTTGTTGGCAAAGTGCTTTGGGGCCTTGGGTGGAAGGTACTATGGAAGTGTACTGCATTTCTTATAAATTACTTATAAGACCCTGATTCTAATTTAATATGAACAGCACCTCCAATTAAATTAGAAGCATGCTTGTGTTTTCAGAGGCTGGCATACCTCAGGGCAGAAGTGAAACTACAAGGTGAAACACAAGCAATGCAAAATTTGGTAACACTCTGTCCTTTCTCTAGTTCCCGCAATCTTGTCCAAATTAGATAGAGCCGTGAACGGCAGGAGTTTCACTGAAGAACAAACAATAACTTTTTGTTCCTAGTTACTTTAGAGTAGCAATCGGATGAATGATTGGGTTGTGATGAGGACACTTTGTTCTCTGTGTGTGTTCATGTCTTGAAATCAGAGTACTTTTTTTCCATTGCAAAATTTATCCTGAAAAGGCTGGTTTGGGTGGTATCATTTGCATAACCCCTTGCTTTCTTCCAAGTAAATTATGAAAGGAAAATCCGTTTCTAATACCTAATTTCCCTCACTTTAGCTTCAAGAGTTAGAATTGTGACCTAGACTATTCTTTTTAACCCAGGAGAGCAGGATGTGCTTTCCTTTAGAGATATGCATTACTGCTTATTCATCAGCCAGAGGGATAGTGTTTGTACATAAAATATAGCAAAATGTGACTGCTTTGTGTGTTTTCAGTCCATAACCACGTGTTGAAAAAAATCACTTGAAATAACATGAACTTTCTGCTGGAAAATAATGGACTTGAATTAACCCTGCAACCAGTTTATAGACTAAGGGCACAGCTACACAGCAGGGCTATAGCTGAAATAAGCTACGAAACTTAAGGTATGCCATTGACATAGCTCAGCTACACAGCAGGGCTATAGCTGAAATAAGCTACGCAACTTAAGGTATGCCATTGACATAGCTCAAGTCGAAATAGTTTATTTTGGCTTTTGGCGCTATCTACGCAGCAGGAAGTCCGAGTTAGAGCATTCTTCCTCTGACTTCCCTTACTCCTCATAAAATGAGGGTTACAGGAGTTGGAGTAAGAAGTCCTCCAGCTCGACATTATTTCGACATAATGTGGAAATAACTACCTGCTGTGTAGATGCAGACTATGTTATTTCGGAATAACGTTAGTTATTACAAAAAAACGCTGCTGTGTAGACATAGCCTAAGGGACAAATTCTGCTCTCTGGTTTAAATACACAGTAATGCTTTAATTTTGCAGATGAGGCTGGGATTTTTTTGTTTCTAAATGTATCATGGATTGTATTTTCTCAACATGATGAAAAGCGATGATTTTTGTTTGAGATTGAAACTTCATTCACCTTCCAGTTTCAATTGTAATCCATATTTATTTCAAAGGCAAGAAGCCATAGGAGATTTTGAAATCTTGATATCGATGAGGGCTCAGCATGTTTTTGTTGCTGTTTTTTAAAAAAGAAATGTTTTGTATTTGATACTGGGAAGATTTTCAGAAAAGTGTCAGAAACAAATGGCTCATTTCAGGTTAAAATGAGGACAATTCCAAAAATGATGCATTAAATGCTAGAAAGTTATATTTATGTTTTGTACTGGAGAAAAATACACTTTTTTGCTGCTTTTTCTTAAGCTTGTTCAGAATTTTCTCACTAGTAATTTATGTATTTGCTGTTGAGCAGCATCCTTGTAATATACCTTATTAAGAGCAAGAATGTATCTAAGGCTCTGGTTGATTTTTCTCTATATAAATACATTATGTTAGCCACACAGATGTTCTTATACTAGGAATTTAAGAGCTCAGTGAAAACAGATTGTTGCAAGATGGAAACAGATTTGCTAGTTTTCCTTTGCTTAATTTCCAGTTCTGGCTGGCAATGCATTATTTGTCTGAGATGACCGAAGAGCAAACTTTAGTGATGTACAGTGGACATCCTTTGGGTCTCTTCCCCAGTCATCGGTATGCACCTCGATTAATCATCACCAATGGCATGGTGGGTATTTCCATTTCATTCTGTTCACCTCATCTTAGGCTGTTTTTAAACTTATTCCTTATTAGATTTTCACAACATGAATAAAAGAAAATGCATAAAGCCAAATTCTGCCCTCATTTATTCCAGTGCAACTCTCTCTACATTGGTATAATTAAGGGCTGAATTCTGTCCTCATCAGATGGCCATAATTTTCTGTCACCATCAGCCTAGGCCAGATCTTAATGAGTTAACCACAGGTGAAAGTTCCTGTGTCCCATTGTTAGTCTTCTGAGCCTTCCAGTACCCATCTCTTCCTCTGCTAGTCTGTAAGATTTGCAAAGCAGGTAAGTTGCATGACAGAGGAGTTACTTTTTCCATTATATTTAGACTATATGCAGCGAAAGCCCAGTTGCCTTACCCTTGGGACTCGTCCCATTGATGTTCATTGATTACTACTGACATGAGTAACTCTAGCAGAATTTGGCCTCTGGAATAGAACCATTGCTATATTCCAATGCTTTATTTTTCTCTTTTTAGATTATTCCCAACTATTCCTCCAGAAGCGAATACGAGAAAATGTTTGCGATGGGAGTTACAATGTAAGATATGCATTTTCATTACTCCTGTTTCAAAGGTTTGCAGTCATATATTAACTAAACCAGAGTCAGGGACCAGTTACTTTCTGATTAAAATATCTAATGTAGATGGACTTTAACTGTGTTCCATCATTAAGGTAAGATCTTGATTCAGCAAAGCACTTAAACACATGCTTAATTTTAAGCACGAGAGAACCCATCTGCGTTCAACAATTTAAGTATACACCTAAGTCACATTGGGATGTAAAGATAAACATGTGTATAAGGGCTCAGCTGAATCAATCTCAATCAGGGCCAAAACAGATTTTTAATATTTTGTGAATAAATCATTTGATTACATTTTCTTTGTTCATTGTTCATCCTGTTTATGGAGCAGGGGGATTGTTCACTAAGGGTATGTCTACACAGTAAAATTATTTTGAAATAATAGCTGTTATTTCAAAATAACTTTACTAGCGTCTATACAGCCAAATCGCTATTTCAAAATTAATTCAAAATAGCAGAGCGCTTATTTCGAATTTGGTAAATCTCATTCCACGAGGAATAAAGCCAAATTTGAAATAGCTGTTTCAAAATAAGTGCTGTGTAGACACTTATATCAAAATAGGGGGCCTCCAGCCTTCCCAGGGTGCCCTGGTTGCCACTCCAGCCTCAACCAAGAACACTCCTCTCCCTCCCCCATCCCCGGAGCCCTTAAAGGGGTAGACTCTGGCCACAGTGGCTGCTGCAGCCAGCTCCAAACCTGCCAGCCCAGAGCCAGCA